ATAAAACCAGATTTCCTACAGCAATAGAAAATGAAGCTTAAAAAAAAAACAACAAAAAACTACTCACTACTCACTGACTAAAATGGCAACTCTAATCTTAAGTTCACAAAAAATAATTTTTCAAACACCTGCATCATCCTCCTTTTAACACCACATTCATATTTCATAGACTTTACATTTCTATAGTACTACAGAATATATCTACAAAGTAAACATACAATTTAAAACTTTACTCCAGAAATTACTTCGGCAAAACCATGACAATATGGTCCAGATATCAGGACTCATGATCAGTGAAAAGAATTGAGCAGGCTGTTACAGACAAAATTCCTGTTGGTTCAGAGTTTCAAATCTTACTGGGAGTTAACTTACTTGAGTGAAGCCATTTGGTGAAGGTGTATATGAAATACAAACAAGTGCGAAACGAGGTCAGAACACAATCAGAGCACATTTTCAACACTATGTTCACTCTTTGTATAAAGTAATAACAATCAGTGGTGGCTTCTTTAGTGGGAGGAAAAATTCATTCTGTTGCTCAAAAACTTCCAGTAGAAAACCAAACAAAAAATTCCCTAGCCTGATATTCACGGCCTTCCTCAACTGGGCTCTAACCCATAACTTTTCAGACTTACCTCATACTACCTTAATTCAGCTTATTCATATTTAAGCCAGATAGAACTACACACCCTTTCTGGAATTATCCAAGTGCTTTCTCACCTCAGAAATTTTACATCCAACACTCCTTCAGGCTACCCTCATTCCCTGAACCTCTATTTAAATTCTACTCATACTTCAAAGTCCGGCTCAAATGCCACCTGCTCTCCGATGCTTTCCCTATTCTCCTACTCAGAACCTCTTCTGTCCTTGAGTAGCATTTAGTCTGTATCTGTCACATAGCCATGATCACATTCTCTCTCATCTATTTTGCAGTATAATCATTTGTGTACATGTCAATATTCTTCTCTCAGACTATAAGCTCCGTAAGGAGAAGGTTTTGATGCAGTCATATTTGTATTATCCCCATCTCTCCACACGTTGCACATACAAGAAAATCATGAATGTTTACTGGGGACAGTGTGTTCAAATACATAATATATGTTACTTGATCCAAAGAAAAAGAAACTTTAATACTTGATTAATATTTTTACTGACATCAACTGAAGAAACATTTACTCAGCACCTTTTGTGTACAGGAGTAGTGGTGTACAAAAATGAATCAAACACAGACCCTATTCTCTCAAGAAATTTATGGTCTAGAAGAGGATCTAAGTCATCTACTCAAGTTACGGTCATACCAAGAGATAAATACCATAAGAGAAGTAAAGATGAAGTGTAACAAGAACCAACAAGAGGGAGAGATTATCTTCAAATAAGGATGGATATCAAGGTAAGTTTTAATGTTTGTGCTGGTCCTATACAGACAGGGGTAAAGGGTTTTAAGACAGGGAGATTAAAGGCTAAGAAGACAGGAAATCTCAAGAGGATACAGGGAACAATCAATAGCTCAATAAGCCTTGAGTACAACATATGTGAAAGATGATGAGGATAGCAAAGCTTAAATTCCGAAAACTATAAAACTCTGTTGAAAGAAATTAAAGAAAATCTAAATAAGCAGAAATACATTCCATGTTCATGGATCAGAAGACTTAACATTGTTAAGACGGCAAAACTCTCCAAACTAACCTACAGATTCAATGTGATCTCTATCAGAATTCCAACTGACTTCTTTTTACAAGTTGGCAAGCTGATTCTAAAATTTATATGGAATTGCAAAGGACACAGAATAACCAAAACAATCCTGAAAAAGAAGTACAAAGTAGGACTCACACATCCCATTTTCAAAACAATGGTAATTAAGACGGTGTGGTACCAGCATAACAATAGACATATAGATCAATGGAATACAACTGAAATTCCAGACCAAAAAAAACCCCATACATTTATGGTCAACTGATTTTCAACAAGGGTGCCAAGTCCATTCAATGGAGAAAGAAAAGTCTCTTCAGCAAATGGTGCTGGGACAACTGAACAGCAAAAAATGAAGTTGGACACTTAGATCACATTATATACAAAAAGTCACTCAGTATGAATCAAAGACCTAAATGTAAGAGCTAAAACTATAAAACTCTTAAAAGGAAACATAGGGGTAAATCTTCATGACCTTGGATTGGCAGAAGATTCTTAGATATAACACCAAAAGCACAAGAAACAAAAGAAAAAATAAATTGAATTTTATCAAAATTAAAAACGTTTGCTTCAAAAGACACTATCAAGAAAGTGAAAAGACAATTCACAGAATGGGACAAATATTTGCAAATCATATATCTGGGGGACTTGTATCTAAAATATATAAAATACTCCTATAGCTCAACAATAAGAAAATAAATAACCCAATTAAAAAAATGGGCAAAGATTCTGAATAGACATTTCTCAAAAAAAGATACACAAATGGCCAATAAACACATGAAAAGATGCTCAGCATCATTAGTTATTAGAGAAATGCAAATTAAAATCACAATAAGATATTACTTCATACCCACTAGGATGGCTAGAATAAAAAAGTCAGATAATAATAAGTGTTGACAAAGGGGATGTAGAGAAATTGGAACTCTCATACACTGTTGGTGGTAATATAAATTGTGCAGATGCTTTGGAAAGTGTGGCAGTTCCACAAAAGGTTAAACATAGAGTTACCATATGACGCAGCAATTTCTCTCCAAGGTATGAAAACACATGTCCAAACAAAAACTTGTACAGGAATGTTTATAGCAGTATTATTCATTATAGCCAAAAGGTGTAAACAACCCAAATGTCTATCAACTGATAAATGGATAAACAAAATGTGTTTTACCCATACAATCCATACAGTGAAATATTATTCAGCCATAAAAAGAATAAAGTACTGATACATATTACAACATGGATGAACGGTAAAAACATTAGCTAAGTGAAAGAAGCTAATAACAAAAGTCGATATCTATAATTCCATTCCTATAGGGAAACCTATAAAGACAGAAAGTAGATTAATGGTTGCTTAGGGCTGGGGGCTAGGGAGGGGTTGATAACTAAAGCGTATGGGGTTTCTTTCTGAGGAGATGAAAATGTTCTCAAACTGACTGTGGTGATGGTTGCACATATCTGTGAATATACTAAAAACCACTGAATTGTACAATTTAAATAGATGAATTGTATGGTATGTGAATTATATCTCAATACAGCTGTCAAAGAGGAAGGAAGGGGGGATCTATACTGAAGATAAAGAAAATTAGAAACGGCAGTTGATGCTATATCTGGTAAGACTCTGACAGCCAAACAAGGAACTAGACTTACAATCTGTAAGCAATGAGGAGCTATTTCAAAGTTTTAGAGCAGGAGCTGAGTAAATTAGTCAGAGGGTCAAAAATGGACTGAAGGGGAAAGAGACTGCTGACCGGGAGACAAGTTAAGGGGCTAGCACCATAATCCAAGAAAGAGGGAATAAAGGTCTGAACTAGGAATGAGGCACTGGGGATGGAAATAGATGAACTGAAGAGACTTTAGATGTGAAATTGACAAGACTTGGCAAATTCTAGATGTGGAATGCAAAGAAAGGTCTGCAAGGGTAAAATAAGTTTCCAGGTGGGGGGAGGGTGGTACCATCACCAAAATAGAGGACAATAAAACAGTAGCAAGTTTGGATGGGAGAAAAATGAGTCCTGGTCATACTGAGTTTTCCTTCCACTGGACATTCAGATGACAATATCTTAACTAAAATGCATTAAACTATGCTGACTACAACAAAATGTACAATTTTGTGAAAAAAGAGAGAAGAGCTCAGATCACTTAATCCTCAGTAAAAGATTTTGATCAATGATTCAAACGATCGTGACTTCAAAAATGTAACTCGCATGAGTTACGTTAAGTGTACAACAAATTAAACTCTGAAAGTCTATTTATATGAATAATATCTTCTCTTGAACTAGAATAACCTCAAGTACCCAAGAGTTATTTTAAAAGTGCTGATTCATAGTGAATAGTACTTGGAAGTCTTTGAGAGCCTTACAGTTGAAAATTATAAGATGAAATGTTTTTGTTGAAGTGGCAAATGCATTGTTAGTACTCACTGTCATTTTGGCCCAATTTAACTTCACCATCATAGCAAGAGGTGGTCAAGCCAGATGACTAGGCCTGACTGACAATGTACCAATGGGTACTAACTAGATCTCTTTAAGCATTCTTTCCTTTCTGTAATAAATACTTCTCTCCAGTTAATAAAACTGGAATCAACCTAGATATATCCCTATAATTAAGAAATAAATGATCATGAAACCACTTTTGGGAGGCAAAATAAAACTTCCAATTATAACTCATGGGGATTACAGCTATTCAGTACCCACTGTCTCCTTAAAAACAAACAAAAATCTCATCAACATAAGCTATAAAGGTAACAATGTGAAGATGAATATAATTTGATATTAACAAATGTTTGTTATATGTATATTTTATTTAAAAAGTAAAATCAAACATTTGAATTGTGGCTAATCTGCCTAATAAGTATATTCTACCTACCAGATTTATTTATTCATTTATTTATTGTTAACACTGATAACAACATTATTTTTACCCAATGCAGTGTCATTATTTCAGTTTGGATGTTGAGGATAAAAACAATGAGAATTCAGCCTTTAACTAGTAACATTTTTACTAATGATGAGCAATAGCAACAGGAAAAACAAAAAACAAAAACAGGTACTTATTTCACATATGACTGTACCATTAAAATAATACTAATCATTTGTTTAAAAACTACACTGACATTTTATACCTATGCATAAATACAAGAAAGAATACAGACCACATGTTAATAATGGTTATATTTGGATTACAGGTTTATGGGTGATATGTATTTCTTTTTTGCTTATGTGTAATTTCAAATTTTCTGTAATGTTTCATTAGAAAAAAATACTTTTTAAAAAAGGAAAACAAAAAAATATTGATCAATTTAAAAGAAACATACTTACCAAGTCTCTGTGAAGCACCCAATTTGCATGGAGGTAATGGATACCATCAAGAATCTGGTAAAGTAATGATTTAACCATGGATCTTGGCAACTGCATGGGCTTTTTATTTGCTTTGGATGCACGGTGAAACTTAATAATATGCTAGAAATTGAAAATAAAATATACTATAATAATTTATAGTCATTGTTAAATATCTCTGCTATAAAACACATAATAATAAATTATCTATATTTTAAAATTACTTATTCAAGGCTAATGATGACAAAAAGAAAAATAATTTGAATAACAAGGTCAACCCAAACTATATTTTAGGGGTGAATGTGGCTATGTTGATGAGGAGTATAGTGACTAGATTTACTTAAGATTTTCATTCAAACAGAAACAAAAGGTAAAAGGTTTTATATTAAAAGCCTGCCTAAAAATAGAGATTAGACTACCTGTTCAGACTTCATCTAGTTTTATGATTCTATAAATTATTCTTTCATAAGGAAATATCCAGTTCAAAGAAACATGTTCAGATGTGAGAGTTTAAGGCAAGAAAATATTTCACAAATAAATATTTGCCTCCTGCTATTTGTAGTAACCATTTTTTCTGTTTTATTTCTATATCTTGTGCTTTTTTTTTTCAGTTGTACTTTAGGTGAAAGTTTACAGCTCAAGTTAATTTCTCATACAAAAATTTATACACATATTGTTATGTGACATTAGTTGCAATCCCTACAATGTGACAGCATACTCCCACTCTCCACCCCGGGTTTCCTGTGTCCATTCAACTAATTCCTGTCCCTTCCTGCCTTCTCATCCTGCCTCCGGACAGGAGCCGCCCATTTACTCTTGTGTATCTGGTTGAACTAAGAAGCACACCCTTCACGAGTATTATCTTATGTTTTATAGTCCAGTCTAACCTTTGTCTGAAGAGTGGGCCCTGGGAATGGTTTCAGTTCTGGGTTAACAGAGTGTCCGGGGGCCACAGATCTGGGGGCTCCTCCAGTCTCTGTCAGACCATCAAGTCTGGTGTTTATATGTGAATTTGAGTTCTGCTCCACACCCTTCTCCCGCTCCATTCAGGACTATTATCTTGCTTTTGTAGATTTTACTTTGGTGGTAATATACACAACCAAACATAAATCCACTCACAATTTCTACACGTGCAGTTCAACGACATTGGCTACATACTTCACAATGTATAACCATTCTCACTATCTCTACTCATATTCTTACATCACCATTAATTCAGACTCTCTGCCCCCTAGAGTTCTCATCTGTGTTTTAGATTAATTGCTGTTAGTTTGAACTCATATGATAATTCTTTATAAGAATGCAACACTTAAATATTCTACTCGAATAAAGTCAAACTGCTCTTTAGTTCAATGATGGCTTCACAGGACAGCTTTGGTTCAAGGCCCAAACATTATTTCTGGGCTATAGAGTCAGGGGTCCCCTGTAATAACTTTTTAATTGAATCACTTCTATAGTTTCAAAACATATTGAAAATCAGTAGTGTTTGTCCCTGCTCAAATAGGTGTTGGACTCTCCAGTAATCTCTTCACAAAGAAATCATCTCGTATTTAACTTGGTCAAAAGAACTACTAGCATTTTCTACTGACAGAATAAAAAGAGGAGAAAAAACAAACAAAACAAAACAACTATAAATCTTTACTATTCTATAAAAAGTGAGACAGCAGTTACTGCATTTGGGTAACATCACCAACTATGTGTATATCAGAATTATTAAGAAAGCTCTACCTTCTTTTGGCACAGAATGAATTAGGATATATTCCTAAAGGTTAATATTAAATAGGAAATCACTAGAAAGGAGGAGGGAGAGTAATGCCATTGAGATAAATACAACTGAAAACTGGGTCACCATACTCAAATATTTAAGTTCACATATTATACTACGGATTATAAAAACACTCTAATGAAATGGAAGAAATGTTACCTGTCTCTCCTCCATATCCCACCCCCAATCCCTATTACAAACCATAACAAAGTAAGCACTAAGGGCCGTTTAAAGCCATAGTCAAGCAATACTGGTGAAGTTGTCAACAGTGCTCTGAACCAAAAACCCAAACCTGCTGCAGTCAAGTAGATTCTGACCCATAGCAACCCTACAGGACAGAGTAGAACTGCCCCACAGGGTTTCCAAGGTTGTAAATCTTTATGGCAGCAAACTGCCACATCTTTTTCCCATGGAGCAGCAAGTGGATACCAACCACCAACCTTCTGGTTAGCAGCTGAGCACTTTAACCACTGCACCACCAGGGATCTTCCACAGTGCTCCACTAGCCTTAAAATGGCCAATGGTACTGGGAAATTATTGAGCTATTTATACATCTTGAATTTTTATAAACTGTTCAACAACATTCACTTAATTTTAAGAAATAATAGGAAAGCTGGGCTTATACTACAGTAGTGCTATCTAACAGAAATATATTGAAAGCCACATATGTAGCTTTAATATTTTTTTTTTTATTGTACTTCAGGTGAAGGCTTACAGAACAAATAGTTTCTCATGAAACAGAAGTACACATGTTGTTTTATAACATTGGTTAACAACCTCACAACATATCAACCCTCTAACTTCTCAATCTCTTTTTTTTGCTTGGTGAAAATACACATAGCCAAAGATGCACCATTTTAAAAATTTCTATATGCACAGTTCAGTGACATTGACTACGCTCTTCAAATTCTGCTGTTATTCTCACTTACGATGAAGGCTTACAGAACAAAATAGTTTCTCATTTAACAGTTACTACAAATGTTGCCCTATGACAATGGTTAACATAAACTCACAACACATCAACAATGTCCTTACTCAACCTTGGGTTCCCTGTCACCAGCTTCCTTGTCCCCTTTTGCCTTCTGGCCCTTGTCACTGGA